TACAACCATTTTGAAGAACAGTTTGGCAGTCATTTATAAAGCTAAACGTGCACTTACTATATGACCCAGCAATCCCACTATTTATTTATTTATTACCCAGGAAAAATGAAAACTTACATTTGCACAAAAATCTGTATGTGACTGTTTGTAATAGTTGCTTTATTCATAATCACCAAAACCTGGAAGCCACTCATATGTCCTTCAAGTGATGAACTGAAGTACTGTACATCCATACAATGGAATGCTACTCTGCTCTAAGAAGGAACACACTGATGCATGAAACAACATGGATGAATCTCAAATGCATTATGCTAAGTGAAAGAAGCCAAACTCAACTCAAACTCTATTTTTTCAGAATTAATGCACTCCTTTTATGTTCTTATTATGATTAGAATGTTATTTTTACACGTACATTTCACATGTGAAATAACTTACCAAAGTCTAAAGTTAACAAATGTCTATACTTTCCCCTTTAAAAATATAAGAAACTTAGAACATTTTAACTCCATTTCTTCTACCTGATTTATATGTGATTTTTTTTATGTATTTTAGTTGTATCTTCTTTTCTAAAACCCCATAAGACATTATTATTAATGTTTTTAAGCAATCAATAATTGTTATATTATCCTCCATATTTACCACTTTCATTGCTCTTTGTTACTTCTTTATTTCATTTTTTTATTGAAACATAATTGATTGTACATATCTGTGGGGATACCACATTGTCTTTGTTCCTTCTTGCATCTTAGACTTTCAATATGTCATCCAACTTCCTCTGCCTCAATTACATTCTTTAAATTTCCATTAGTATAAGTCTGTTGGTAGTAAACTCTTTCAACTTTTATTTACTTCAAAATGTGTTTATTACGTCCTTATTTTTGAAAGATATCTGTCAGCACACAGAAGATATTATTTCATTGTTTTCTGGCTACCAAAGCTGCTATTGAGGAATCTGTGTACTATCAAAGAGAATTATGGCTCTTTTAAAAGTAGTTTGTCCTTTTTTCCCCCCTCTGGCTGCATATAAGTTATTTTTATTTATGTTTGGTGTTCTACAGTTTCACTCTGATGTGTGTAGGCATATAGGTCTTTTTATCCTACTTGGTATTTATTGGAATTCTTGAATCTATAGACCAATGTCTTTCATCATTTCTGGGCAATTCTCATTCATTATTTACATGTATTCAATAGAAAACAAGAACAGTTAATAAGTGAACTAAGGTAAGTTAAACTCAAGAAAGTAGAAAAAGAAAAGCAATAAACTGGAAAAAAAAGTGAAAGAAAAGAAATAATGAAGATAAAAGCAGGCATTAAGAAAATTAAGATGATCCAAAGAACTAAAAAGTAGGAATAATAAAATAGGCAAACCTCTGGCAATAATACTAAAGAAAGGAAAAGAGAAGTCACAAATAAATAATATTAAAGTTATGTAATAGAATTTGTGAAAAATCATAGCATGGTAACTTTATGACAATACATTTTAAAACATGAAATGAAAAACTTTCTAAATAAATCTAAATTACCAGAATTAACTCAAGAAAAATAGCAAAGTTAAAGAAAACAATACTGTTAGATAATTCAAATTGGTAGTCAGAAATATCTCTCTGTCTTACAAATACTGCATGCTCTCTCATAGAAGTAGAGAGTAGAATAATGGTTATCATAGGCTGGGAGGGGCCAGGGGTAGGGGGACCAGAAGTGATGGACTAGCAGGTACAAAACTATGCCATCTACCCTAAGTGAACTATTGTGCAATATATGCATGAATTCAAACACATTGTACCCCCAAAATAAATATAAATAAAATTTTTAATAAAATAAAAAGTAAAAATAAAAGAAATATCTTTCTGTCTTAAACACACATATGGACATGTGCACGCACGCACACACACACACAAATATACCACAGAAAAAAGGCCTCAGGCCTTTTATAGGGACTTTTTACCAACTTTATAGGATCAGTCAATTATTTTATTCTACTACATAGGGGAAAAAAAGGGAAGCTTACCAGCTGATTTTATAAAGCTACCATAACTTTGGTACCAAGATTGAACAAGGACAGTACAAGAAAAAATCGCATTTAGGAAAATAGAGGCAAAAATTCTAAAAGTTAGCCATATTTTTTTATATTTGTTACAATCGAGGAGAAATGTAAGGAAGATTCAATGTTACAAAAGTCTGGCAATATAATTTATCATATAAACTGAATAAAAAGGAAAAATCCTATGATCATCTCAATATATGCCAAAGGACAAAATCATTCAATATATTCAACCTTAATGATAAGAGAATTTTCTGAGTCTGATTATTGTTATCAACCAAAATCCCAGAGCAATAAATATTCTTAGGAGGGAAACTTTTGAAACTTTTTACTTGTTTCTCCATTAAAAGCAGACACAGCTCAGGGATAATCATAACTGCTGCCATTGTTGAACGTTGCACTTGAGGCCCTAGCACCTACAATAAGACAAAGAATGGAAGGGAGAGAAGAAGGAAGGGCGGTGGGAGGAAGGGGGTGGGTAGTAGCAGTCAAGAATGCACGTGGCTACAAATAACAGAAAACCACCCGCAGCTCGAACAATGAGAAATTTGTCTCACACACAAGAAATCAGGAAGTAGGGAGTCTAGGGATGTTGGGCCTTGATCATCCGCGTTGTCATAATGCTCTTTCTGCTTTGCCCTCTTTAGCATGTTTGATTTCATTTCCATGTTTGCCACCTCATGGCTGTATGAGGGCTCCTGCAGATCTGGGACTTACATACATATTCCAGGCAAGAAGAAGGGAAAAACAGCGGCGTCGGTTTCTTTGCAGAAACGTCTGGGTGTACTTTCTGAGGGCTCCTGCAGATCTGGGACTTACATACATATTCCAGGCAAGAAGAAGGGAAAAACAGTGGCGTCGGTTTCTTTGCAGAAACGTCTGGGTGTACTTTCCCTTACCTCTCACAGGTCACATGGCCACTGTTGGCTACAAGGAAGGCTGAGAAAGTCAATGTTCAAGGACGGGGTTAGAGTTAGCATTAGGATGAAGGACATACTTATACTAAATACTTAGCATGATGAGTTATGCTTAGTCTAACGCATTCATGAAAACTCTGTTCTTTGTTGGACATTAAATATATTTAATATATGACACATATACTAAAAAATTATTTATTGTTTATCTGAAATTAAAATTTAACTATATGTCCTTTTTTTTATTCTTTGCTAAATCCGATAACCCTAGGAGCTGGGCATATTGTCACTCTGAAAAAAACTGTGGTTCTAAAATTAGCAAGGAAGAAAGGGGAGGGTTACGTGGCAGGCAAGTATCAATAACTAGCACAGGAGCATACAAGCTTGTCCAGGAAGACAAGGGTTTTTTTCCCCCTGATATTAACTCTGGCAAAATTTATCATACAGATTTTTCCAGAAGGGAAATTGAATATCAAAATAGGCAGTGCCTTAGGATACAGTTTTGCTAAAGATGAAGACACATTCTTCAAATGTATGTGTCCCATAAAATCTAAGGTTACATGAAGTTATAATTTAGTAATAGTATTTCTTCAGGTAATTTAGAGACACCGTTAACTGGATTATCCCTGTGAAATTGCAAATCTTTGAGATTTTACCCTACCAAATTGCATTAAAATTTTACTAAAATCCTTTAAAAGTTGTGCCCATTTGAAAACTTGTCAACTGCTACTTTGTTTCAACATGGAAATTTAGCCAAACATCTTACTTGTCTACAGGAACCTGAAAGTTATAAAAAAAAGTGTATCGAGTCTGTAGACAACAGATATAACAGGTGTTACTGGTGAGTATGTGGATTCAAAGTAGTCTGGGTGCAGGGCATGGACTCACCTTCAGAAGTGGGAGAGCAAAGTCCAAAGTGGACAGCAGGGCCGGAGAGTGCAGATGTCAAGGCAAGAACTTACAGGTTTAAAACGGGGTCTTCATCCACTGCAGCACACTGGCCAGGGAGGGTGAAGACTACAAGTCACAGGAAGGCTTGTGGAAGCCAGGGAAACCGGAGAGGTGGTAAAACTGGGGTGCTCAGATGCAACAAACAAATCCCTTTTGTGGAGGTGAATTTCAGTGATAAGGCTCTGTAATTCTTGCTACTTTTTAAAAGATGGCTGAAGATATTCCTTGCAGCCCACGTGAGACAGAGAGAACCGAGTCCTCAAGTGAGATTCTAAATTATGTATTGATATCTTTTACTAGTGCTTAAAAGATGGCTGAAGATATTCCTTGCAGCCCACGTGAGACAGAGAGAACCGAGTCCTCAAAGTGAGATTCTAAATTATGTATTGATATCTTTTACTAGTGAGCTTTTTTGATCAACATCTGTCAATTCTTTCTAAGATTGTTGTTATAGAATTGAAAGAAAAGGGGGTTGAAATGAAGGAATTCAGTAGAAAGAAGTCTCACTTCTTTTATTCAATTAATCGTTTAAATAAATTATTTGTTCTCTTTTTTGCAAAGAGTAGTGTAAGGATTTTTCTCCCTTGAGAATATCAGACTTGGGCTCTTTGTAAAGGGCAATTGGGCTTGCTGCCAGGCAACAGGAGAGATGTCATTGAGAAAATATTGTCTAGCAGGTAGGTCCGCCTCCCTGTGGACTAGATTTGTACTCCAAAAAATTGTTCCTCGTAGATTTAATTAATTGCAAAAATAATCCTTATGGTGCTTTTCACTTGTATCACTTCCCCAAGTCTTTTAAATTTTTCAGTATCATCTTTACAATGGCTACCCAATAGAATAGTCTATCATATGGAGCTATATAAATTACCCTTTACAGGAACTTGGGATTCTGGCTATTTAAAGAAATCTTATAGTGAAGCGTTTTATAAGACAAATATTACCCTCTAATTTGCCTGCTTTTAACATTTGCCTTTTCATCTCAGCAGTTTGCATTAGGCAGACCTTGTACTCTGATAGAATGTTGACCTCCCATGCTTTTGGCTTTCCTTTTGAAGTCAGTGATCACAGATGTTTCATTGAATAGTGAGCAGACAATGGGTGACAGCCATTTGACTTTCAAGGTGCAAGCCCAAAAGCATTCACCTAGTGACTCAGCCTCTCTTTGTGGAAGAGGTAACTCTGCATCACCTTCATCCACAGCCCATTTCACTACACGTCCCAAACCACCGCTGACTCTAGCAGGAGTGACGAAGGTCTTTCTCAAGAAACAAAGATTGAAGGTATTTGTATTTCTAACTACAGAAAGAAAATTGTTCTTGTTTACAATATTGTCTGTCATATTTTTGGTAATATACACCCATTACAGAGTTGTACCTTTCACATAGAAATAAGTGCTATTTCAGCTGCTGCTGGGATGCATTTGATTTTAAAAGAGAGGATTGTTGTGCAAATCAACTCTATCCATGACACTGTCAGTGGGGACTAAGAAATTTAATCATGTTGCCTTATCGTGAGATTAACTAGATGACTGTGCCAACCTGTACTGCTAGCTGGTCACGAATCTAGGAATCCAGGATACAATAACTATTGCTATATATATGCAAATATGTGCTTGTATAGAGTATGTTATTATGAGGTTTTATTGCATTTCATTTGTCTTTAAGCATAGGCTAAAGAAGGCAAGATCTCCAGTTTTGTACAGAATACCTTAATGAGGAAGGGGAAGAAATTCTGTATTCTTTAACATTGGTACCTTACAATACAATGTAATTCATCCTCATGGAGATTCCCTCATTTTATAGGTGCGGGACTTTTGTAGCTTGCTTTCTTATGTTTATGGGCCACAGACAGACCTGTGATAATTGAAACTTTTCACCACAGAAAGGAGACAGCTGGCAGCATCTTTTCCTGGCCTACCCTATGTGGTCATGTTTCCAGTTTCTCTCATAAGAAAAGAAAAAAATAGAAATTGAAGAATGGCACAGAAAAAATTAATCTTGCTGGGTCTACATAGTAGACTGCTACCTGCTCTTCCCAGACCTTCATCTTTTAATGCCCTAGTCTTCAAGAGGTTTTCAGTATTTTCAGCACTTGTGGGCTGTTTCCCCTTAAGAGATTTTCAGGCTATTTATGTAGCAATATGTCATGTGACACCCCAGTTGCCATGGCAAATATTTGTGTTTCATGAAAAATGTGGATTAAAAAAAAAAATCAATGTAAATGGCCAAATCCCAAGACAGACAGGCCTTCAGGCGAGTGTTTGGCCTGCACCATTATTGTTTGAAATTCAGCTGTTTAACAGGCTGTGAGAAGGCCATGGGCTAATGTGCATAATGGGAACAGGCAGAGGCACCTGTTTTGATTCTCACCCTATTCCAGCATTCAGGTCCACAGTTTTACAGATAATAGATCTACAGGTAATACAAATATTGTGACTAGATTTTGGCCAGTTAGCAGTTTAACCTCAAAAAAATTTTTTTAAATAACCACATATCTTCTGAATGCTCATTAGTGCTGGCTTTAATTTCCTCTGTTGACTTCACAAAGCTTTCCCCTCCTGCTAGAAGCAGTAATATTTAATGGCTTTTTCCTGTGGTCCCAGATTGGTGCAACATTTCTGAATTGAACTCTTCAATGGTAAATGTAATTATTCATATACTTTATGGAAAGTGCACCAGGCATGCAAGTTAAAAAGCTAAGAGAGGGCCGACCCCATGGCTCACTCGGGAGAGTGCTGCGCTGGGAGCGCAGCGGCACTCCCGCCGCGGGTTCGGATTCTATATAGGGATGGCCAGTGCACTCACTGGCTGAGTGCGGTCACAAAAAAAAAAAAAAAAAAAAAAAAAAATAGGCTAAGAGAAAGACTGCGGTGTGCTGAGCTTCATGGTGGAGCCCACACAAACCTTTGATTAGTTTTCACCACCAGGCAGTGCAGTGCCACATAGAGAAGCCCTTTCTGGTAAATACTCTCCAAGTGTCCCCTAGAAGTGGGAATTGGCATCTGATTATAGTTGTTTTTGTAAATATTTACTTTGTCAAACTCTTTCATCAAAGCAAACAGAGCTCTTGGCAAGCACAGCATCGTTGTCTGGGAGTGGAAAAGGTCTTTCTAATTATTAGCTCCTGCCTGTGTGGAAAGAGGGAACAGGCTGGCCCAGCGGGGGAAGTGGGGAAGTGGTGGGGGGGGTGGGACTCTGAGCCTTCTATTTGTTTTGTAAAATTGCCCATGAGAGTCATTTTGATTTAAACTGTGTCTCTTTCTTCATTGTAGGGGAAAGGCAGAAGGTCAAGAGGACATCATGATAAGAAGGTCTGTAATTTGTGTGACTAGTTGAAATTTGGGGTCTGTCACCTGATGTCCCTTCCTTTTGCTGCAGGGCAAAAGTACGGGAGGCTGCTTGACAGCTGGAGATGGCAACAAAAGTTCTTTTGCGCTTCCTTTATAAAAGAAATTAGATCATGTTTAAAAAAAACAAAAACCATGGTTCATTTAAAGTGAAAAACCTTTTTTTTTGCCTTCTGTTGGGACTGAATTACTTCTTAGGCTTCAGCCCACAAATGATTTAGCATCCTCAAAATTTGGCTGAATCACATCAGTCTTCAACCTCAATCAAAGATTTTCATCATTTAAAAATACAGTTAAAAAGAAATAAGATGTGGGCCGGCCTGGTGGCGCACTTGGTAGAGTGCGGCACTTGGGAGCGCGGCGCTGCTCCCACCGAGGGTTCGGATCCCATATAGAGACCGGTCTGCTCACTGGTTGAGCGCGGTGCAGGCGCAACACCGAGGGTTGCGATCCCGTTACCAGTTGCGGTACAGGCTCGACACCGAGGGTTGCGATCCCGTTACCGGTCATGAAAAAAGACAAAAAGGAAAAAAAAAAAAAAAGAAAGAAATAAGATGTGAAAAATAAATTCAGTTGTCCCCTAGTACGCACTTGCATGTGTGCATGCATGTGTGTGTGAATGCATACATGAGCACGTGCACACACAGACAAACACATGTGTACACAACATGTATGATGTATGGGATTTAGAGTTAAGCTGACCACAACAATTAAGGTTAACAAAAAGTTGGAAAAATGAAACAGTTCCCACAATATGGCAAGTACATTCCAGCAACGAATATTCCACAGGGCCACGCATGTATAATAAAAGTTCTGAACTTGAAACAGGCATATGTTGGATTCTCCTGTTAGCAGTAGAGTAACTTTGAGGAAGTCACATAAATTCTCTGCACCTCACTTTCCTCCTCTGACAAATGGGGATAATGCCTCCTTTCTCAAATGGTTGCTGCAAGAGTCAGATGAGTTAATGTGTGTGAAAGGGCTTTAGAACTATAAAAGAATTTGTTATCACGACTCATTTGTCCATTTTTAAGAGTATCTTCTAGGCTTCCCTTTCTGGGTGATCTTCTTATCAGTAAGAATTTCAGAAGGAGCTTAGCCACAACTTTTTGAGGAAAAAGAATTCACCTTTTGGGTCTCCTTTTACTCCTGCAGAAGTATTCCTGTACCTGAATGGGGCTGCATTTATAGTAATGATTGCATGCATTCCTTCTGAACCTAGACAAATTGCTCCTGGATGAACTAATCAGTGTAGTTAAATCTTTCTTCTAGCTTCCCTTGACTTTTTACTGTGAGGAAATTGTGAACTTGATTCTGCAGTTCAAAAATAGTATGTGCTTTAAGAATGCCAAGGCTTTATTTATCTGGAATATTTATTAACTACTAATGTTGACTGAGTGTGTCCTGTGTGCATGGCACTAAGAACTTCTATACCCACTAAACCCTCATAGCAGCTGCAGAACCTCTGTACTGCCATTGCCCCTAGGCCTACCCAGAGGGTAAAGGGGTGCAGAGGATCCAGCTGACAGACTGAGGCTCCAGAGTTTGTACTCTTTCCACATACCAGCTTATGAACCTTTCCAGATGGGCCAGTTTTCCAAATATTACTACTACTGCTATTATTACTACTACTGCTATTATTGCTGCTGCTGCTGCTGCTCCTGCTGCTCCTGCTAGCAGTTAATATGTATTGAGTGCTTCCTCTGTGCCAGGCTCTGTTCCTAATGCCCTAAGTGGATTATCTCACTTCCTTTTCACACCTCTATGCAGTAGGTACTATTATTATTCCCATTTTACTGGGAGGAACTAGATACAGAGAGGTTAAGTCATCCAACTAGTAGTAAATGACAGTAGCAGCATGCAAAACTGGACTATATGACTATAAGAGCCCCAAAGCATTAGAAATTTCTATAAATCTTGGCCACTGCTGCAGACACCAGGGTGGAACAAGCAGACTGTAACAGCCTCTTCCACGGTAACTGCTGCTGTAAGGACAGCTTGCTGCCAAACCTCATAGGTTTGCTGGTGACCACTCAACAGCATAGACAGGAGTGACACCAGCAGAGCCCAGGAAAAGAAGAAAGAAAAAGGAAAAAACCTGTTCAGAGTCACCCATTCAAAGCGAGGAGTACTAGTATACCCCAGTGCACCTAACAGAGTCAGGGTGAGGTAGCCACAATGCCAACAGTCCTGCCTAAGAGCACCCACTATAACCTAAAAGTGACAAAACTCCAAGGTTCTATCCCCCCAAACTTGAGAGCTTGCCCATCTCCTGATGATCCAATGTAGAGTCACCAACCTTGGCAAAGAAACAATAAGTGTCCTAGGGAATAGGTTACAGTGGCACTCTCACACAACTCCAACACTGAATTCAGCCAAAATACCTTCACAGAGACTACACTACGGCATCTACCTGGATCTAATACTAGAACAACCCATTCAACCATCATTATAAAGCACACCTGCAAGAGGAACACCCTCTCTGCTAACCCAACTCCAGAGTAACTTCTCTTCCACATGACTAAACACCAATGGAGAGATACTAGAAATATGAAAAAACAATAAAGTATGACACCACCAAAGGAATATAGTAACTCTCAAGTACTAGATCCTATAGAACAGGAAGTCCTTGAAATGACTGATGAGGAATTTCAAGCAACAATTCTAAGGAAACTAAATGAGATACAAGAAGACTCAGTTAGACAACACAGCAAAATGAGAAGTGTACAGGACCTGAAAGAGGAAATGTACAAAGAAATCAGTGCCCTGAAAAAGAATGTAGCAGAGCTTGTGGAGCTGAAGGATTTATTCAGCGAAATAAAAAACATGACAGAGAGCTTAAACAGCAGGCTAGAACAAGCAGAAGAGAGAATTTCTGGTCTTAAAGATGGCCTGTTCAAAATAACACAGATGGACAAAAAAAAAGAAAACAGAATTTTAAAAAATTGAAGAAAATCTAAGAGAGCAGAAAACCTCAAGCACTCAGATATCCAAATTATGGGTATTCCAGAAGGGAAGGAAAAAGGAAATGGCATTCCAAAACATATTCAATGAAATAATAGCAGGAAACTTCCCAGCTATAGGGAAATATATTCAGATATCAGAGATATTCAGATTCAGGAGGCTCAAAGATCCCCAAACATATTCAACCCCAAAAGGTCCTCTCCAAGACATGTTATAGTCAAATGGGCAAAACTCAAACACAAAGAGAGAATCTTAAAAGCTGGAAGAGAGAAGCATCAAGTCACCTATAAGGGAGCCCCTACCAGACTAACATCAGACTTTTCATCAGAAACACTAAAAGCAAGCAGAGAATGGGATAATATATTCAAAATACTAAAAGACAAAAATTGCCAACCAAGAACACTTTACCCAGCAAGGCTATTCTTCCAAAATAAAGGACAAATAGTATATTTCCCAAACAAAAACTGCAGGAGTTCACTACCACACAACCAGCCTTACAAGAAATTCTCAATATTTCTAAAATATTGAAATTCTCTAAATGTGTCTGATACCAAAAAGCAACCATAACTACCATGAATACTCAAGAAAGAACAAAACCCACCAGTAAAATAAAAATGCTAACAATAAAGAGAAAAAAAGTTTTATCTACCATCCCAAGAAACCAACAAACACAGAAGACAAACAGTAAATCAGAAAGAAAGGAACAAAAGATATTTAAAACATCCAAACAAAAATAAATGAAATGTCAGGAGTATATCAATACCTTTTAATAATAACTCTTAATGTAAAAGGATTAAGTTTCCCACTCAAAAGACACAGACTGATTGACTGGATTAAAAAAACGGACCCAACAGTATGCTGCCTTCAAGAGACTCACCTTACTTATAAAGACACACATAGACGAAGAGTGAAAGGATGGAAAAAGATATACCATGCAGAAAGTCAACAGAGAAACACAAGATCTAAACAACACTTTAGACCAAATGGACTTGGCAGACATCTACAGAGCATTTTATCCAACAACCTCAGAACATTTATTCTTCTCATCGGCACACAGAACATTCTGCAGGATAGACCACGTGTTAGGTCACAAATCAAGTCTCAACAAATTCAAAATAATTGGAATTTTTTCAGACAACAATGAATTAAAACTAGAAATCAATAACAAACAAAACTCTGGTAGCTACACAAATACATGGAAATTAAACAACATTCTACTTAATGACATATGGGTCCAAGAAAAAATTAAACAGGAAATCAAAAAGTTTATTGACACTAATGAAAATAATGACACATCATAACAAAACCTGTGGGATACTGCAAAAGCAGTACTAAGGGGGAAATTTATTGCAATAAATGCTTCAGAAGAATGGAAAGATGACAGGTAAACAACCAAAGACTTCACCTTAAAGAACCAGAAAAACAAGAACCATCCAAACACAAAGTTAGTCAACAGAAAGAAATAATTAAGATCAGAGCAGAACTAAATGAAATAGAAACCCAAAACATGATACAAAAGATCAATGAAACAAAAAGCTGGTTTTTGAGAAGATAAATAAAATTGACAAGCCATTAGTAAGCCTAACTAGAAAAAAGAGAAGACACAAATAAATTAGAAATGAAAAAGGTGATATTGCAATCAATACCTCAAAAATACAAGGCATCATTAAAGACTACTATAAACAACTTTATGCCAACAAATTTGAAAATCTGGAGGAAATGGATAAATTCTGGATGCACACAAACTACCAAGACAGAGCCAAGAAGACATAGAAAATCTGAATAGACCAATAACAATCAAAGAGATTGAAGCTGTTATCAGCAGTCTCCCAACAAAGAAAAGCCTAGGACTGGATGGCTTCCTTGCAGAATTCTACTACCTTTAAAGACACATTATTACCAATTCTCTATAAACTGTTCCAAAAAATTGAAACACAGGCCATTCTCCCAAACTCATTCTATGAGAAAAACATCACCCTGATACCAAAACCAGACAAGGA